GCAAAGTCTGGAGACAATTAGAAGTTCCCACGAAATATACATCACTAAAAAAGGTGAAAAAAGCCACCTTAATGAACAGCCAAGATTACACCAGCGGGAAGAGGTGAAAAACAAGGTGTCTGGTAGATTATAAACAAGTTTCCAATTACCTTTCTCCCAACCTTTTCACGATGGTTCTATGATAACAACCTCACACACAGCCCGGTGCTCTCCTCATGTACTGATCTAAGGCCAGATGCTGTACTTGTGTTTTCTTCTACTGCTAGACGGGGACGTGTGTACTGCCTCACTCTCATCCCCAGTTGCCGGGAAGAAAACAATAACATGCGGTATGATCTGTCAAGACTATGGCTCCAGGTTACCAACACTCGTCATTAACACACCAATTCACTCTTGACTTCACATCAATCGTCAATTTCTCTAAAGTAACTACTACCAGCGGGAAAATAAAGGTGGTACATTGTGGTACATTCCTAACTTGTGCAACATACACCAATAAATAAATAAACCCACAAAGACATGAAGGAAGACGAACACATACAGCACACGTCCTTGAGGGGAGAAAATACTCAACCGCAGGATTCTGGCCATTATTATGCAAATACGGTAACCTTAACACAATGACCACTTCACCCACAACACTCAGCTATGCCAATGATAATCCCTTTTACAATGGAGGGAATATGTGCAGGTAGAGTCAGATGAAGTAACAGTGACGCAGCAACAAGTGGAAGGTCTACCTGCCACATGGGGTAAAGTGAGATACCGTCACCACACACTACAGCATCATCACTACAGCATCATCACTACAGCATCATCACTACAGCAGCATCACTACAACATCACTCGTCAGGATGTACACAGTTATTCTCACTACTTCAACACAGCTCGACAACAGGTAACCAAAATAACAATAACATACAATAACTTAATCAACTTGAGAGCGTACAAATATATTACAACCAGCCGATTACATGTCTGTGATTGGTCGGGTGATGGTGTGATTGGTCGGGTGATGGTGTGATTGGTCGGGTGATGGTGTGATTGGTCGGGTGATTGTTACATAACACAATAGCCACCATCATCCCCCGGTGTCCTCAGCCTCGTATACATGACTGGCCGTGTACACACAATCACCCCCGCGGTTATTTATCTACACACCATGACCCGACCTTCTAATCTACTATTATTATCCGCTTTAACAACCGTGAGTGAGGGCAGAGTGGGTGTCCCAACGGCATGACTGTACTGCAACACACTACAGAGCCTGGTGGTGCGGCCACAGCATCACTTAGGATTACTTTCACCATGTTACGAGTATGGACGCTCGCCAACCATACTAATACTATCAATATATATACTGTATATATATATATATATATATATATATATATATATATATATATATATATATATATATATATATATATACCCAAACATTAATCTTAATTCAGTGACTACATAAATCAGACACACAGTTTAATGGGCTACTATTATTAATAGTCACTCAAATATTATTAATGGTCACTCAAAAGAGAGTACCACCCCCGTGTCATGGGTCGTCAGGGTGCCCGAGCACAAGATGGGTGAACCAGACCTGGCAGGTCCTCCACCACTATAATGCCACCGACCACCGTCTGTGAAACAGTGCGTACATTTTCCATCTTCTAGGTGATACCTGTATCTTAAGTGAAAACATTGAAGAGAAAGCTACAAGACCAATCACTTTCTAACCATTGTAATTATTAATGATTCATAGATAACTTGTAAATCCACTTAATGTTTCATCTTATTTTTACACTGGAAGCTTTAGTTAAAGGAATCTCACCATTTATGTCCTGTGTATATTTTCAGCTTTTGTCATGAACAGTTTACTATTATTATTATCATTATTATCATCATCATTAATATTATCATTAATGTAAACATATGTTCCATCATCTCGGCGTTATCTAAAGAAACGGTTAATTAAACAAAGTTTATCATCCCTTCCACAGATGGCGTTAATGAGCACTTGTCCCCTTGTCCCTGTGACGGGATATTTATCACTAGAAGCTGCCATTAACGACGAGAGAGAGAGTGTGTTGTGTGTTAGTTAGTTTGATCTTACAAAAGTTAACCCAACGAGTATATTTAACTGGTACCATAAATGGCGTCCTGGACTATCAGAATAAATAAGGCGGTTCACATTACTTATACTTTGCTCATGTGCCTAAGACATTCCACGGGGTCAATTAGTCGAAATTTACCACAGAATCAGTGGGGTGAGGTGAGGTGACCGGCAGCAACACCACTCCAATACTGACTAACAAGATGCCGTGTTACTCAGCGCCCGGCCATCCGACAGCCCTACGATAAGCGATGCAGCGTGAAGAGGAGGCAAGCCACCAGTTTATATATCACAATCATCATGAGAACATTTTACTTAGCTAGTCTCCTAATTTGATAAAGTACCTGGTAGTGATGAGCCAATCCGCTGAGAATCCGACGAACACCGACACTTGAGCACAATGGTAAAGTAAGTCTCCACGAAACACTGATGCCCTTTGAACCTGAGCAAAACCTTAAGAAAAGTAACTACCTCAAGCTGACAGTGAAAGTCGTCACAAGGTTGCAGTAGGCAATGGCAGAATATACAATGCAAGTGCAGGAGAAATTACTGTAAGCTAAATAACCAGTGGACATTCTGTATATGGTTTGTGGTAAATATTTTCCAAGCAAATCTTTACTAAGATTCGTAAATTTTAAAGGAATAACTATCCCACGTCTCTCAAAGTTAGAAAAGACCCTAATAATAAAAACAACAACAATAATAAAAATATAAGTTATCGAGGCAAACGTGACCACAAGACGAGGCTTCTGCAGTTCCCGTTGACACCTCTGACACCTGTATACTGTAGTTCCCGTTGACACCTCTGACACCTGTATACTGTAGTTCCCGTTGACACCTCTGACACCTGTATACTGTAGTTCCCGTTGACACCCCTGACACCTGTATACTGTAGTTCCCGTTGACACCCTGACACCTGTATACTGTAGTTCGTTGACACCTCTGACACTTGTGTACTGTAGTTCCATTGACACCTCTGACACCTGTGTACTGTAGTTCCGTTGACACCTCTGACACTTGTGTACTGTAGTTCCCGTTGACACCTCTGACACTTGTGTACTGTAGTTCCCGTTGACACCTCTGACACTTGTGTGCTGTAGTTCCGTTGACACCTCTGACACCTGTGTACTGTAGTTCCGTTGACACCTCTGACACTTGTGTACTGTAGTTCCCGTTGACACCTCTGCAACCTGTATACTGTAGCTCCCGTTGACACCTGACACCTGTATACTGTAGTTCCCGTTGACACCTCTGACACCTGTGTACTGTAGTTTCCGTTGACACCTCTGACACCTGTATACTGTAGTTCCGTTGACACCTGACACCTGTGTCTGTAGTTCCGTTGACACCTGCTATACTGTAGTTCCCGTTGACACCTCTGACACCTGTATACTGTAGTTCGTTGACACCTCTGACACTTGTGTACTGTAGTTCCGTTGACACCTCTGCAACCTGTATACTGTAGCTCCTGTGACACCTGACACCTGTATACTGTAGTTCCGTTGACACCTGACACCTGTATACTGTAGTTCCCGTTGACACCTCTGACACCTGTACTGTAGTTCCCGTTGACACCTCTGACACTTGTACTGTAGTTCCGTTGACACCTCTGACACCTGTGTACTGGTTCCCGTTGACACCTCTGACACCTGTGTGCTGTAGTTCCCGTTGACACCTCTGACACTTGTGTACTGTAGTTCCGTTGACACCTCTGCAACCTGTATGCTGTAGTTCCGTTGACCTCTGACACTTGTGTACTGTAGTTCCCGTTGACACCTCTGACACCTGTGTACTGTAGTTCCGTTGACACCTCTGACACTTGTGTACTGTAGTTCCCGTTGACACCTGACACCTGTATACTGTAGTTCCCGTTGACACCTCTGACACCTGTGTACTGTAGTTCCCGTTGACACCTCTGCAACCTGTATACTGTAGTTCCCGTTGACACCTGACACCTGTATACTGTAGTTCCCGTTGACACCCTGACACCTGTATACTGTAGTTCCCGTTGACACCCTGACACCTGTATACTGTAGTTCCGTTGACACCTGACACCTGTATACTGTAGTTCCCGTTGACACCTGACACCTGTATACTGTAGTTCGTTGACACCCTGACACCTGTATACTGTAGTTCCCGTTGACACCTGACACCTGTATACTGCAGTTCCGTTGACACCTGACACCTGTATACTGTAGTTCCGTTGACACCCTGACACCTGTATACTGTAGTTCCCGTTGACACCCTGACACCTGTATACTGTAGTTCCCGTTGACACCTGACACCTGTATACTGTAGTTCCGTTGACACCCTGACACCTGTATGCTGCAGTTCGTTGACACCCCTGACACCTGTATACTGCAGTTCCCGTCGGTAGTATGGAGGAGGAGGAGGAGGAGAGCTTTGGTGTATTATGCAAAACATGAAACATAATTATTATTTCCAGACCGACGGCAGCTACCACTGTGAGTGTTCTTTATCAGCCCGTAGTAATAGTCTAGGACTCTAGGTGAAGCACAGTCTTGTTGGTTGACTGGTGCTCCTCCAAACGCCAGTGTTTTTGTACCGACTCCTGGTCAGTTTACCTTCGTTCAATTCACTTTAGTGGAATATAATAATGGATGACGTCATGTATTTAGCTGTACAGTATTTTATCGAGATTTTTCCTATTTTTTCTCCCTGATCGTCTGTACTTCTCTACTGAAATCTTCCAGGGGAGGTGTGGGAAGTGTGGTGGTGATGGTGTTCAGGGCTACCATCTGCTCCAGGCTTTAATAGGTAAACAAATAAAACTCAGAGATGACAATATCTCATGTCAATATAACCCACTATACTTTTTTCACAGAGATAACTGCGTCGAAAAATATAGTTATAAATGTTACCAGAAGTGATGAAAGACGGGAACAAGAACGGCAACAATGGGCAGCGTGTGGCCCTCTTACGGTACGAGACACTTTTGGTGATGAACGTGACTCAGGCTGGGTGTGCAAGCGTTTGTTCACCCGCCTCCTCTCGTCTTAACGCTGACACTCTCTTAACGGCGCCTCCCACACGGTACTATCCAGGTACAGGTTTACTAACGATAGCATTAACCAAATTTCACTCGACCACACACACACACACACACACACACACACACACACATAAACAGCTCCAGGTGTCTCTTACCTGTCCAACACCCGCGGACAAACTTAGTACCGTCTCAAGTCTGCCAGTAACAGGATGTGAGCACCAGCAATATTCAACTACCTTAGATTCAGGTCACCTTCACTTTACGTAGTGGAAGAGAATCAGGTTTAACTATTCTTAACTACTTTACAACAGACTCAGGTTTGACTCCATTTCAGTGTCTACGAATACATACAAGCGAGCATTACTTAATAGGTACTCCAAGAGTAATGACACTGCTCACTTTATATTTAAGTTACATATAAATTATCCAATATTAATATGAATTATCCCGACATTCCCAGGAAGAATCCCAGAGGTCAAGTATACTTCAATATCTTTTAATTGATATAAAGGAACCCTACGTCAGTACCTTTGATAAGGGATTCAGGTTTGAGGGGACGAGACACTCAGGTGAGCCCCAAGCTTATGGAGGTGTAGAGGAGCTCGTTTCCTGTCACTCTGGCGTCTTTGATGTAGAGAACTCATTACGTTTGTCAACACCCAGTCTTGTGTAACTAATTACCTCAAGTGTTAACAGCCTCGCCTGAGAGGAGTGTGCTAAACATCACTCGTGCCATCCTACAGGACCCTCACTCGTGCCATCCTACAGGACCCTCACTCGTGCCATCTACAGGACCCTCACTCGTGCCATCCTACAGGACCCTCACTCGTGCCATCCTACAGGACCCTCACTCGTGCCATCCTACAGGACCCTCACTCGTGCCATCCTACAGGACCCTCCTCGTGCCATACTACAGGACCCTCACTCGTGCCATCCTACAGGACCCTCACTCGTGCCATCTACAGGACCCTCACTCGTGCCATCCTACAGGACCCTCACTCGCGCCATCCTACAGGACCCTCACTCGTGCCATCCTACAGGACCCTCACTCATCCTACAGGACCTCACTCGTGCCATACAGGACCCTCACTCGTGCCATCCTACAGGGACCCTCACTCGTGCCATCTACAGGACCCTCACTCGTGCCATCCCTACAGGACCCTCACTCGCGCCATCTAGGACCCTCACTCGCGCCATCCCTACAGGACCCTCACTCGTGCCATCCTACAGGACCCTCACTCGTGCCACCCTACAGGACCCTCACTCGCGCCATCCTACAGGACCTCATCGTGCCATCCTACAGGACCCTCACTCGTGCCATCCTACAGGACCCTCACTCGCGCCATCCTACAGGACCCTCACTCGTGCCATCCTACAGGACCCTCACTCGCGCCATCCTAGGACCCTCACTCGTGCCATCCTACAGGACCCTCACTGCGCCTACAGGACCCTCACTCGTGCCATCCTACAGGACCTCACTCGTGCCATCCTGGGACCCTCACTCGTGCCATCCTACAGGACCCTCACTCGCGCCATCCTGGGACCCTCACTCGTGCCATCCTACAGGACCCTCACTCGCGCCATCCTACAGGACCCTCACTCGCGCCATCCTACAGGACCCTCACTCGTGCCATCCTACAGGACCCTCACTCGCGCCATCCTACAGGACCCTCCTCGTGCCATACAGGACCCTCACTCGTGCCATCCTACAGGACCCTCACTCGCGCCATCCTGGGACCCTCACTCGTGCCATCCTGCAGGACCCTCACTCGCGCCATCCTACAGGACCCTCCTCGCGCCATCCACAGGACCCTCACTCGCGCCATCCCTGGGACCCTCACTCGTTGCCATCCTACAGGACCCTCACTCGCGTCTACAGGACCCTCACTCGCGCCATCCTACAGGATCACTCGCGCCATCCTGGGACCCTCACTCGTGCCATCCTGGGACCCTCCTCGTGCCATCCTACAGGACCCTCACTCGCGCCATCCTACAGGACCCTCACTCGCGCCATCCTACAGGACCCTCACTCGCGCATCCTACAGGACCCTCACTCGTGCCATCCTACAGGACCTTCACTCGTGCCATCTACAGGACCCTCCTCGTGCCATCCTACAGGACCCTCACTCGCGCCATCCTGCAGGACCCTCACTCGTGCCATCCTACAGGACCTTCACTCGTGCCATCCTGGGACCTTCACTCGTGCCATACTACAGGACCCTCACTCGTGCCATCCTACAGGACCCTCACTCGCCATCACAGGACCCTCACTCGTGCCATCCTACAGGACCCTCACTCATTGCCATCCTACAGGACCTTCACTCCCCTATAACTCGTATTTATTATTCCTTAAACGGCACAATTTACCGCTCGTACACCTTCACCGAAAACAACAATCACTTTACCAACCTAATAATCCAATTCCGCCGCACAAGTGAGATTATAACCAATGGCATCGAATCCAATATATGCAATTCTTACCATTAAATTAAAACTGCGCGCGCACACACACACACACACACACACACACACACACACACACACGCACACTGCTTAATGCTCAAATATTGTACATTTGTTGCCAACATTTTCAACTGATTTATGAGGATAAATAGAATTAATACACCTGCTACAGAGCCCAGAGTTACCAATGTAAAATAACTATCATCACCGAAAACATCAATACATATTAGGAGGTCAATTACACAAGGGTTGAGTGGGTGAGGTGAGCGTCCCTGGTACTCATGGCTGGATATAAACACTGATCCATCTACCACTACAACCATATTCAGGAGGCCATTCAGGAGACGATAAGACTAGGTTATAACACAAAACACCTTAACGCTAAACTCCACGAGAGGCTGGTGAGGTTTATAAACAACACCAGAAAATAATGTAAAACAGATTCAGATGTTGGGATAATGAGACATAGAATAGAAGGAATTCAGGTCAGAATATGCATTGTGTTTACAGAGTGAAGATGTCCTGTATCTGCTTAAGATGGTTATAAAACACAAGACAGAGGAGATGTAAGACAATAGTATGATGGCGCTCCGTAACGATATCGTACTAACTACTATACCCAGACTCAATGCCAGGATCACCTACAATCGTATTCTCACGCAAAAAAAAACCCAGACGTAACACCTATCCGTACCATGCTCCGGGGGCTGCGACGGACCCTACAGCACACACACCACTGCCAACACAGGTTCAGTAATCCCCCGCAGAGCAGTATTAACGTCAACACGAGCTGAACGCTGCATAATGAGAAGTATCACGTGACAAGTGATACCAACACCGAGACAATAATCTCCTCATCGTCTTGTGCCAGATGGTAAAGATGTCTGCTGCCCTGTACTGACGGGTCCGGTTCCGCCATTAAACCCCAGACTTCTTACCTCTGCGCTTTCCCTCACGGTCTACTAACCATATCAACAGTTAACTCCCAGGCACAGTGAAGGTTCAACTCTCATGCAGCTTTAATGCACACATTAAACCGCTAAACACGGCGACGTAACGAGCACTCTAAAACTAACAGGCAAAGTCCGCGTTCTGAGTAGCGCATTAACATATCAGGTTGGCACAGGCCCGCCCCACCCACCCGCCCCACCCCATGATCTAGAACAAAAGCCATGTTACACGAACGTCACATCTGGTTATTAATAGGACATAGTGTACACCCGCACACCTTACCTTCTTGGAGAGGGATTTAAAATAGGTTAAATTGGATCAACTTCAGGACCACACACACACACACTTCTTTGGGAGTTGGCTGCCGGTGTCTGACGTAGTCCAGTATGACAAACAACTCAACTACCTAATTCTTGGTCACGTCACCCTACACCACTCACATGACACACTCACAACATAACTTTTTCCTGCTCCTCACCTCCACTGTGCGCCAGCTGGTCTCTCTCTCTCTCTCTCTCTACTTTATTTGAGACCTCACGCCCTGCGCCCTTTCACACCACCACATACAGGTCACTCCCTAAACCTGTACACATGCTGGTCACATATACACTCCCCTACACACCTACTGGTCACACATACACTTCCCTACACCTGTCACATGCTGGTCACATATACACTCCCCTACACCTGTAACACCTACCCTACACCTTTCTGGTCACATCACCTCCCCCACCTGCCACCTGCCTACACTGCTGGTCACATATACACCTCCCCCACCTGCATCTCTACCCTCACCTTCAATCCCTCCTCCACCTCCACCTACACTACAAACTGACAACACACAACACAACGGGTCACCTGGTCCGGGGCCACATAAGTACCCTAGAGAACTTAAGAGGTGGAGAAGCGTGTGTGGGCTGGATGTCACGAGTTTAACACAGCGGACACTCTTCCACCCACTGACGACACGGGATGACACCATACTATACGACAACAGCTATACCGAAGGATCTCTCTCTCTCTCTCTCTCTCTCTCTCTCCATCACCATAACCATCAGCACTATCACCATCTGCCACCACCACCACCGTGAGACTACAGCACAGGTGTATAACTAACCACTTAAATCCCAAATCTTTTTCGTATTACTCCAAACTTCCGGTTGTCCTTGAGGCTCATCTGTTCCCCTAAATGTATTCAATAACGCTAAACAAATAAGTCTTTGTGTTGAGGAAATTACACCTGACCTCTGTATCTCTCCTGTGGCCAACAATAAAAAGGTGAATAGCGGCGGCGAGTCAATGAGAGGCTGTCCCTATGTGAGGTTGACCCTGCCAGTCTATACTTATGTCTCTGAAGGTGAGGTCACACACACACACACACACACACACAAACACACACACACACACACACACACACACACACACACACACACACACACACACACACACACACACACACACACAGTTATAAATACCAATATTCTGTGTATTCCTTCGCAACACACACTGGGGTTTGCACATTGCTTTTGTCATGCCCGTAAAGGTAAGGCAAGTGCGCCACCTCGAAACTGAACAGGTTGAGGTGAGTAGCGTGGCTAACACAAAACTGGTGAGTGAGTGGGTGGTGAGCGGCAGTGTGTTGTGTGTGTGTACTCCCAAGACCAGCCGCTACTGTCCACCAGGCTCACACTATCTAGGCATCTCGCTACTACACCATTAAGCCATGACCGCAACACCCTCCCCTCATGATAAGGTGTTGGAGGCAAATATGTTTTACTGAATCAACCTGACGAAATTTCCGGGGATCAGCCTCTCAGATGACCTGATCAACTAGGCTGCTGCTGTTTCCAGTCCGCATTACAAGCCCGGCTGAATAACTGTTTTCAGCAGAAACTTGAGAAAGATTCACTGGTCTTGCCATAACGTTTCTTGTATAAACGGTCAAAGTCAGTCAAACCTTCCAATAAGTTTCATGTATTCTATAAACAGTGGGTTCCATTTGTTTGGTTAAATGTGATAACTGTGGACGCTGCCTTGTGCCGATTATATCAGGGAAACAACGGGAAAAAATCTACGAAGTAACAAAGAAAAATCTGTGTACATTAATAAAGTTACACAGCCACTGTCTCTTACCTGCACCACCCTCAGGTAGATGCCAGCTATTGTCACGTGACGCAAGAGATTGGTTAGCCGATGTACTGTAGGTGTGACGCCGGTGTGTTAGATAATCTCTCAATGCTTTTACGTCTTGTCAGTAATGTGTATATTTAAGGTAGTGTGAGCAGTAAATGATCTTAGTACGTTTTAACAATCGGGCAATTTGAGCAGCGTAATTAATGGTGTTAGTACACAGTGATAAAGAACAAGAGCTGTGGACGTTATAAACAATGGCTGGTAGCTCCTGTCTTCAAAGGCCTTATTACCCACTTTATCTCCTTTATAACCAAGGCAGTAATTATCTCGTTAACTTTAATCTTTACAAAGCAATCATTCTTGTATAACGTATAACATTTCTTTAAAACAAGGATCATTTTTCGTGTAAATTTCATCTGATACCATCCTTATACAGGTGAAAGTGGGTCCCACAGGTAGGGACAGTGTGGATACAGCACACTGTATACTGAGTACACTGTATACTGTATACAACATTCACTTCCCCAAGTTGTAAACTCAGGGGCCCATTTACAGCTGGGTGAACTGGGAGTGCCCGGGGATCGAAAAACCGACCCCTGGATCAGGAGGCAAGTGCTGTACCCACTCGCTCCCGTGTAAAAGTAAGTCAGTAAATAACAACATTTATCATAAACAAAACCAAGTGTAACTCACACCAGTGAAGACTACAGTCAGGGTTCCTCACATACCTGTAAAGAGACAATTCAGTAATTAGAAACACTTTAATAAAAATCACGTGGTCATTAAAATAACAGAGACTTAAGAAACCATACCAACCTAAAAATTAAATCACTAACATTTACGTGGCAATACAAGACGTCTAAGAGCCTCAGTTACCATCTGAGACAACGCGCAGTTGTGATAACGGTTACATCTCTCTCTCTCTCTGGTGAAGCTTAGTCAATTACCAATAATTCATTAATCAACAGACTATGTAAACACCCACCATAGGCAGCAGGCGGCCTGACGATGGGGACAGTTTACAGTAGGCGTTCCTCCGTCACTTACTTGGCTCCATCACCATCAGCTCCTAATTTCCCACATGGTGATGCAAAGTTGTTTCAGCAATAGCAAAATATTATCAACTTTAGGGATTACCATTACTGTTTCACTCTTTCTTTAGACAATAATATAACAACCTCACTATTAAAGTATAACAACAACCTCATTAACAACACATCAACGACCATTAATTAACATAACACCTGAAGGCAGTAGAGAGGACCACTCCACCACAGATCATGACCAACGTGTACAACTAAAGTCACCCCACTACACAAAGCCTCATGCCTCTACAGTAGTACACCACCATGTAGAAGTCAGGTGTGATCTAAAGGAATATCCTACAAAGGTCAGTAAATACCTAATCGTCAAACATAATTTATAACTCACATAAGCAACTTTCTTCCTCGTACTAAGGCGACACAGACTCAGAAGGGAACAAACCAACTCGGCACGCCATATTAAGATGACGAGCGGTGATATAAATGGTAATAAAACTGGTCGACTCAATTAATCTGACAGCGAATACCAGATACACCACGATAACGTTGGCAGACTCAGACTAGGGAATTAATATGTGCTGTCTGCTACTGCTTAATATGATTTTACTCTTCCTCTCCTTTCCATAAAGTCACCAACCAGCCGTGACCAAACCTACCCCATCAAGCAGCTGGTAAGCTGCCCCCCTCCCTCGTAGATAAACACCCTTACTCGTCGTTAACTTATCAGCTGAGACATAAATCT